TTATAAACTCGATCGATTTTGCTTACATACTTTTGTAAAATTTGCGAAGTAGCATATAACGTGTAATATTTAAAAATTATTATCTTATAAGTGAAATAAATAATGTTAGGTTTTGTACAAATTTTTACACTGACATATATTTTTATAAATACTCTTTGATTGATTCTTGGAATTAAATTGATTTTAAGTATTTAATTTACTAAATTTTCTCTAAGAAATAATGAAGCTTACATAAGTACGTATACAATGAGTCATTAGAGATAATATTTATAATCCTAAGTGTAAATCTATTAAAAAAAATAATTTAGCAGTGATTTATTTAGCTAATTTAGCTAATTTATTTCATTATATTATTAAGTTTTAACGCTTAGTCGTTGAAATAAAAAAGAATAATTTGTATATGTATAAGTGACTTTCTATGTAAGTTTAGATTTTTTATACAATATTACAACATTTATACAAAGATTTTTATTTATATAGTTGTGAATTAAATAATTCTATTTAACATATGTTTTCGTGAGGTTGGATACCAATATATAAGGATACATAATACGTGTCGTTATCGTAAAGATAATAGAATCGTCAAGGAATTTATAAAAAGCGTTCATCACGAAACTATAGATAAATTGAAAATTGTTTTTTTAATATTGAAATGAATAGTTTATGATATAAAATGGAAGTTATGTTTACGTGTATGATTAACCAAACTTTATGTACATTACTATTTGTATAAATGCATATTGTACATTTTATCTAACAAGTTGGAAATATACTTTTCTTAACTTCTTTAGTACTTACGGAATTGATTCAGATTACAATGTTCATAATATACAGAATCTCTAAGTGTTTCTGAATCTTGCGGACAAAAATATCTTATAAATTTTAGTTAAGACATTATGTTTTCGTAACTTTAATACTGTCTGTTGAATAGAAGTAAATTTATCAATTTAATTTCATGTGCGCATTACTATTTGCACACAAACACACGTTAACAAATATATTGTTACAGCTAGTGGGAATTGTCTCTTGACTCTAATAAATGAATAAAATTTAATAATATTAGATATAACATTAATTCTTTAACATTAATTCAACAAATTGAATCTTAAATTTCAAGCATTACTCGTGTCTATATGTAACCTACAACTCCGCCATTTTTTTACGATACAATTTTTTTTCTCCTTCTTTTCTCATACAAATACGCCTATTATGTACTTGTAAAGACACTGATTTTTTTTTTTTATCGAACGCTACTATTAAGCGAATATACTTTGCGAAATATCTGGAGAAATTTAATTTTTACTAGAATTTACTTACAAAACATTACCTAAATGCATAAGTGTAAATACGAAGCACAACTCTCCCGTGCTCGCATTAACTGTTGTAATTATGAAAAAAAAAAAAGATAAAAAAAAAAAAGACTAAACTGCTCGCTATATTGTCTCAACATTAAATTTGTGAATAACATGTTTACGACATTATATTACCTATACAAGGATACACTTAATATTAAGTCGAATAGAATATTTAAAGAAACAGTGAGAAAATGTAAAATCATGTACCGCATTAAAATCCATAATAAATGTAGTGGAGTTAGTTGTTAAAATAATTGATCGACCTTAAATATACACTTAGGTGTGCAGGCGTGTTTAGTCGCTTGCGGAGAAGGATATTGAATTTGCGGGGAAGCTTCAGGACGTCGTAAACGACGAGGCGAAGGCAGCGCATGTAATTTCGTCTTGAGTATCGAAGTCTTAGTCGACATATCTAATGATAGATGCAATTAACCTCAAATTACAAGCTTTCAATTACACGTTAGTTCGACAACTAGATGTATGATAATTCGCACGCAAATTCGAGCGATCGGTTGCGACGTAAGTTTCGCATTTCTAGGACAAAAGTGCGCGCGTAAGAAGCCCCTTTCCATGCGCCACTCGCAGTCTGTCTTATCGGCGTCGCTTAATGACATTGGCCACTTTTACGTTACACACTTAAAACTTGCACCGGTGCTCTCAACTCCCACTCCCGCCCTGAAAAATATCGATGTACCTAAAGCTGCTGCTCCTGATGTTGCTGCTGTTGCTTTTGCGATTGCTGCCGCCGCCGCCGCCGTCGCCGCCGCCGCCGCCGCCGCTGCTGCTGCTTGCACAAGCCGAGAAAAAAAGCATTCGATTCTTTACACACGTCGTTTTCTCGCTCTCATTTCTCGTTCAATAGAGGTGATGGGAAGGGAAAAGGAAAGGCATGGAGGGGAAAAGCTAGTATCGGGTACGAGCAGACGCGTTCTCTCACTGCAAATCAACGACTTTTCTACCGTCGAACTCGCCCTTATCTCGGCCACTACTGTCATGTGTTTGTATGTGGATTATTGGTGAGGAGTAAAATGGGGGACGGGGGAAGGACGGGACGAAAAGGCGGGAGCGCTGCTGAAACAGCATTTCCCATCATCGCTCTTGCCTTTCCATTAAACAAATTATTTCCCAAGATTTTTTTACCACTTTTGTCACATAATTGCCACAATCTACATATTTTACCTCGCGCCAACTTTTGCTTACACTCTTCTCTCCCTCAGCGCCCCCCGTTAAACCGCCCCCGTACAATTAACCAACGGCCCCCGTCATTTGCATACTTGCAACGAGATGGGATATTACCGTACATCGTACGTAGCACTTTTATTCTTCGATGAGTCCTTCTGGCCCGGAACTTGGCCTCGATCGTCTCGCACGTACGGCAATTAGCGAGGGATGGGACGAATGGGACATCGCGCTTATATGGCTCAACGACTATTTATTTCTTGTCGCAACGGACAAATTGTTTTATTATACGTTGGCGGGATTACGTTGAAAAATATTTAAGGCTATATTACGGGCGTTTAATTTATAAATACGAGGGATGCGCAGAGCAACGATAACAGCAATAATACCGACTGCAACGTCCCATCCACATTTCCGCTTAAGAATATTAAATTAAATTTTTTCCCCCTTGTATTTTCTAAATTTTGAAAAGGATGGCTCGCCCACCCCTTGGCGGCGTTATTGCGTCAAACCTATTCTTTAGGTGTCCTAGTCTTGTTCCTTTATCACCTCATCTACTTGCATACTAATTGACTTCAATGTCGCGCACATTCATCGAGGACGTCGAGAAATTGATAATACGTGTGCATCGCTTATCTCGGTTATTAAAAATGTCGTCGTCACTTTTCTCGCGCGCTTTCATTAAAGAGCGATATATTTATCAGAGACAAGGATTGTAAAGGTGAAATTTTATGTTAGATGAAGCTAAATCGTAGTTGCGAAATGGAAAAATCGAGAACCTAATAATATGTAATAATAGGGTAGGTATGCTCGTGTATGCATGTAAGTGGACGAAAATCGCATATATCATGACAATGTCTTACTTACTGATAAATCTTCGAGTAAATCTACTCTTACTCACATTCACATTCATTCTCGTATTATCATGCAAATTTTTATCACAATTTTTTGCAACTTTTCATCAATTGAAAAAACTACTTCTCTCCATCGCAAGATATTTTTGGACAGTTGAAATTATAAATTTATCTCATATTATTTATTTCATGTAAATTAAATGTACTTTAAATCGTTAGAGAGCTTCGAAATTTAAATAATATTGATTTTATTTATTATTTGATTTTTTTATTTTATTTATTTACACACACACATATATATATATATATATATATATATATATTTTTTTTTTTTAATGTATGTTATATTTGTTTGTCCGTTAAAACTTAATATTCAAAAGACTGTGGATATTATTTCATTATTTAAATATGCGCAAAAAATATGGTTTTTCTTCTAAATATGCACGATAACAATATTTACACGTATGACAAATTACCATTGCAAATATACTATTGCTACTACATTCATAACTTCAGCAAACAATTTTAACGTATACTATTAAAATATATTATTTATAATAATACTACAATAACAAATCTTGAATATACCTGGTAGGTAAAAAGACGGTCGACTTAAGTACAATAAGGTAACGCGGAATTTTATGTGACTTCGGGCTTTTATATTTCACGTGGGGTGAAACAGAGTTTAAGGTTTCTAATGCAATATCATATAAAAATAGCCCGTTTACAATTAATGATTTATGATTTTAAAATCATTATTATTTTACTCTGTTTTTATAACAAATTTGATTACTAAATGCTAAAGGAAAAATTGAAAATTTATGAATTTATTTATCAAAAGATCTTAGATGGTAATTTTTATTTAAACTAATTGCAGTATTCATTTAATTATTTGAAACTATCGGCTTAAATATAATAGCTTATATCGATTCTCTAAGGTTATTCGATTTAAATCGAAATGACAAATGTTAAATGTATTTAACTTGACAATTACATTGAAACTTAATTTGATTAAGAAAGTACGTATGACAATGTTTAACAACTGTAGTGAAAACTGCCTTAACAAAGGTGAAAGCAAAACAAGTAAATATAAAAGTTATTGCAAACAGAAATTCCGGCTTAATCCCGTACAAATTATATCAACGATATTTTACTAAATTAAGAGAAACTTAATGTTCTTAACTTAACGAAATAATATAAACATCCCTCTCTTTCTACTAAATCGACGGCAGAATTTCATAAAGGAAGACGGATTTTCCCATAGCATAGACCAACATGGCCGAAACATGGCATTAAAGAATATTAACCTAATTTTGCATTATCATAAGAATTTGGTTGTCAGACAAGCTCGATCAATCAAACGAGGCAGGGCACACGTATATTTCTCATTCATACAAATCTTTCACACTCGTCCCGCCTCCGCCCCTCACCACCCGTCAACCCGAAGCGGAAACGCTCACGAAAGATCATAGACAGACCCTTAGACATTAGCTGTGTTAGTCACGGAGACCCGAGGATACGCGAAATGATGAATTTCTGCCTAGATTTGCGGGTGGGTAATAAGGCGCGAGGCAACGAGATGGAAAATGATGGTGGGCTTTTTGGTTCGCAGAGATTCCCGGGAGGACGAGGCGACATTGTCCTCACGGCCCGCAACTTTCCAAACCCGGCTGCAACTTGGTTGGCGAGGGATCCTCGGGCTCCGAGGCGGAAAGCGGCCAGGACGGCGGAAAATGCGTCTGCGGACACTCGGTGCTCTGGTGCCCCGAGGAACCCCAACCCTACATGTACAAGACGAGGCACGAGTGCGAGCTCAATCTCGCCGCGAAGGTGGCATATGGTTTGTATCGCGGCTCTCCGCGTCGCTCAAATAATCCTACGACTCCGGGGATCCCCAGTGCTCCTTCAGCTTTTTCCGCACAGTCGCCGAGATACTTTAATCTGATTACGCTAGCTAGCCGACTTCGCGTTTTTACCGGCGTTTAATTAGGAGATGAATTTTGCGGCGCCGGGAGCAGTCTCGTTTGGGACAAGCCTACGACACTTTCACACGCTATTCCCACCAATTACCATTCAAAATTCATATCCCCGTCGCATTACTAATATCATCAAAGTCTTCTCACGCGCAAGCACCTGACGCATACAAATGCACCCCCCAGCCACGCCACGCCACGCCACGCCACGCCACCCAGGTGTACGGATGCGCACCTCATACACACGACCGGGTCCGATGCATTTTGCATTTTTAGCTCGTTAATTTATTTTCCGTATTAATTTACCGCACACTCGTTCATCAAAGTTATGCTGAACAGTATAATTCTTATAATGTAAATAAAATGAAAATTCGCTCTTAAATATTTACGTGGAAATGTCGGAGCAGCAGGTGAAATCGTAACTTTATTTATATTTAGCTTGTGCGTTGAGGAGAGTTGCTTTTGTAACATACTGTTTGGCTAAAGAGGAATGCATATTTGTTTAATATCCGAGTCGATTGTATCGTAAAGGACGAGAATTCAGCGAATTCAGCGCGACTATCCAATGATTATGAAAAATCGAATGAGATTAATAAAACATGGATACCGAAGTACGGAAGTAGAGCAGCTAGTGACTATTACAATACAAGTGACGATTATAGTATGAAAATACGTTAGTATGTGTTGGTCGGTGGCGCGCAAGTGTTGGTGTAAAAAGTAACCTAAGCGAGGGATCCAGAGATCGAGCCGAGTCCAAATGTACATGTACACCTTTATCAAATATCTCTTCCGACTATTCTTCATCCTACATGGTCCACAAATATAATTAAAACCTTTCTCGTAAAGTAAATTGAAATTACTTGTATGTATATACTCCTCCCGTACCACCATGAAAGAATTTCTCATTTTATTTAAAGCTTAATTAATTAATTAATTAAATTATTATTAAATAAACTATAAAATTAAACCTCGGACTTTTAAAAGAAATTATTATGATGCAGAACAATATGCGCGGTATTATAAAACAATTATAAAAAAATATACGAGTATTTTTTAAATAATTCACATTGATATAAATATAAATCAGCATTCAATTAAATGAATTGAATTACTGCAATATTGATTCTAATGCTCGCAATTATTTTAAATATATAAAAGTAAATTTTAAAGATTATACGAGCAAATTAATTTAATCTTCTTTAAGCGAATGATTTGCAAAATTTCTATTCTCAACAATTGCGAGGAGATGAAAATTTAACTTATTCGATGCTCTTGAGACAGATTTTTGAAATTTATAGAGTAAATATGCACTGCAATTAAAAATCATAATATTACACGAATGTAATATATTATTGTAATTATAAAGTATAAACGATTATTAAGCGCATCGTAAAGCGGGCTTTAATTCTTTCTTTTTTTTTTTAATTTTATTTCAATTTATCTGAATAAAGTGGCAACTCTCGCTATTCAGTTGGCACGCTTCACTCCTCAGTGTCTTGCTGATAATTGATATAATTTAATTACATTAACGAGGGTGGAAAAATGATTGATGCCCCCATCTTTGCGAGAAATACGGTTCATTTATACAATAGAAGCGATGGTCAGTGATAATTTCAAAAGTCTAATGGCAAATTTGTCATACAGTCATTTATTTTATTGCTAAAATGGAATTTTTTAAATATCTGATGAAAGCATTTAAACATGCAAGTCAGTTGTTATTACATGAATTTATATAATGTTTATAAGCATATTTTTATAAATATCATATAGTGGTAATTTCGTAAATTACATAGTTTCCTCGTTAAATTTTATTTCATTGAAGTTGTTTTTAAAGTATATTTGTTTTACATTGAACTCGTCGAAATTAAATCATTAACGCTTCAAAGTTTTTTACTACAATGGCGTCTATTAATAGCCTCTAATTGAATAAATGAAGTAAAATGAGCAATTCACCTTATTACATTTAATATTAAAAATTTGAAAGTATTAGTAAATAAATAAGAAAGTATGGGACGTCAGTTGGTAAGGTTCAAATTTAGTGAAATTTAACATTGAAAAAGTATACAAGGATAAATGAAAGGGAATACTGTTCCAGTTAAACTCTTCCAAAGACAATAAATTGGTGTTAAATTTCAATATTGATTTTCATCTGCTAATGTGGTGCTGAAAATTGAAACTGTCATAACGTGCATTTTTAACAGCAAAATTTCTGAAATTCTCGAGAATTCAATTGTCTATTGATTAAGAAATAATTAATATTTCAAATACATTATCAGATTCTGTCGAATAATTATTTTATATGACCCAAAGTATGTCATATATGTTATTACAATTTTTATACAATAATATTCCATCCACCTTGAATAAATAATAAAAAAAAAAAAAAAAAAAAAAAAAAAAAAAAAAAAAAAAAAAAAAAAAAAAAAAAAAGGAGCTTCAACAAAATATTTGTAGTTTCGTATTTTGTAATGTAAGGAAAAGTGAGAGAAGAGAAGTAAGTTACTCGTCGATCTGACTGTATGCTAAGGTAGATAGAAATAAGGAGGAACGAAGGAGCATCGAAAAGAAAGTAGAGAAGAAAATTGTGTAAGCTGTAAAGAGCAACTCAAAGGAAGTTGGCGTGTGTCCTTGTCAACGTAAGATGTACACATACTCACCTACAGCCCACACACACACACACACACACGCACGCACGCATGCTCAAACAGAGGAGAAAGAACAATAAAGTAGACTCATCTCTTCTTCTCACATACCCTTGTTACCCTCTTCCTCCCTATTCCATTCTCTCTCTTCAGGCTTCTCGACATCTCATTCGAATTTTCGAGTTAACTTTCAGTTGGATTGCCTTTAAAGGTCACAAAACAGTGACCAACCGTTAATGAAAAGAAAACATAAATAGAGCTCGGGCTGTGGTCGGTGAAAGCGTTAGATGTATGAGCGCTCGGTTAATGAGAAAACGACATGAGATGGTGAAAATTTTTTTTTCTGCTTTTGTAATCGTAACCAAAAGAAAATGTCATCAAGGCCTCGAGGAGCGACTCCTACATTATTTTGTCTCTCTCTTTTTCATCTTACCTCGGGAATTTCGGATCTGTTGAGAAAGTTTTCGAGCGTGGCGATAAGGCACAGACGTGGGCCTGAACTGATATTATATAATAGCTGCAATAGTTTGCAAAATAATATCTTTAATATTTTCTTGCAAACAGGACAAGAAATATTATTCTTATTGTTTCGTATTTTATCGTTCGATAGATAAAGTTACAAGCTTGTTTATAACGAACGACGAAAGTCTTAATTAACAATAGTAACAATACATGCTTGATAATCTATATTTAATTTGCTTTCATAATATGGAGAGAATATGTAATGTTAAATATATTATCGATTTTGGAATTTTTAATATTTTATGCATAATTCACGGGACTTGTAACTAATTAAAATTAAAATGTCCTTCGTAATATTTGCAATTGCGTTTTATAATTTTATGCTCAAGTACGTAGTACTGAATTAGAAACTTTCCGAGCGATAATGTCAAGATATTTGATAATACTTCTTGTTATTAAATTCAATTCAATCAAAATTCAATCGTGATAATGAATTTAAGAAAATTGACATTTTTTTCTATTAATCGATTGACTTTTAATTTATAATGTGCCGTTTTTATGTAGTCCGTTACAGATTTCGTATAGCGGCTTATGTAAAAGTTTTAAATGAAAGTATTTATGAAAATCCTAATTGATTATGGGTAAAACATTATATTTTAAATAAATAATTGAAAAGCATTGTATACAATTTATATAAGATAAAAGTTTGCCAAATTTAACGCTTTAATCAATATTTAATTGTTAGATATATTTTCAGCGCAATAATAATTTAACATTGTAAAGAAGCAGACCGCGTACCGCACGACATAATGATAATAATATTAATAATTGCGACGATGATAGCAATAACCGTGCATAATAATGTATTATTCGAGAGGCGTACACAATGTAAACTCATGTACACTCTCACGGAGCATAATAAGAACAATAGCAAAACTAGTACCTTTTGAGGAAAATCGATGAACGCGAGTAAGGGCTGCTGTAGCACAAGTAAAATATTAATGCACCTCCGATAATAAGCAATTTAACCAAAATAGAGAAGACTATCCGCAGAGTCGTTTGTTTGTCAGAAATTCACCTACTTTGCCAGCCATCGCCGATTATTGATAAACGCAAGTCTCGCACTCGCCGGCAAATTGACGCAAAACTCAGTTAACAATGGTCGATTAAAGCCCCCCCCCCCTCTTCCCCTTCCCCTATCCTCACCCCCTTACGTACTCCTCTGTCCGGCTCCGTAAAAGTAAGTTACTTTGTTGCAGAAAGTTAAATTCGATTCCGGCAAAAGTTTAATCGCCCAAGTACGCGAAGGTGAAGCACGAGTACAAAAGGAGAAGTCCAACTTGGGGCGATTCGATCGAAGCTCGGGGGTGGCAGACGATCGGCACGTATGCAAATCGCGTGGCCGAGGAGGAGTTCAACTAAGAGTTCGTTTTCATGCGAGCCCCGACCCAATTAACCCTCCCCCATCCCACCTCCCGCCAAACATCACACTGGCCCTCCCCTGCGTGCACGCATCACCTTTACTCGTCTACCATCAAATACGTATCCTTCTTTCTCCCTTGCTCCATCTCCACCCTCGCTCGCCTCTCCCACCAATTTGCATTCGTTCGTATGTGCCCCGATACGATCTTCCGGCTCTCCCAGAGAGACACACTTCTGGACTTTAGACTGAGCTTGAGCGCTAAACATTGGGGAATGCCGTCGGTCGATCTTGTTCAACCTACCTACTCATATAATTAATGATGCTATCACTTTGGAATTTGACTACTAATTTCACCCAAATACGGCGCTCTATGCAGCCTATAACAATTGAAAAACAAAATTTTTAATTACCATTAATCTTTATTAAGTTGGTATATCGTGATAATTTTATATTCCATTTCGACGATGCGTAATGAAAAGCAGATATCCTCTTTTTTTTACTTTTTATGTGTTTTTCTCTTTTTTAATAAAATTTCATCTTACAACTGCAATGAAAAATGGCGATGAAAGTGTTAAATGTAAAAGCTTGACCAAATCCACTTTCAAAATCCAACTTTCATCATACGTCAGTATACGATGAAAAGATATTTGGAATAAATAAGCTTCAAAATAATATTTGAACGAAAAATAATTATATATTTTAATTATGAATGTTCATTTAAAATGAAAAAAAAAAAAAATAAATAAAAGAAGAAATCTTTTTAAAATTAATTTACAAAATTCATCCGATAATTATATAATAGAATGCGATTTAGGCATTTCATAAATCTCGGTAATTTTGTTAATTAGAATATTAGCTTTGATGAATAATTTGGATTAATAACGCAAATTAAGTAATTCTAATTCAAAGTTTTGTATAAATGCAAATTGTATATCATAAAATAGAGAAATTTTACTATAATTTTTTTTATATTCTTCATAGGATCTGCGATTATTTTAATAATATATGAATGTGCTAAACTTTTCTTTTTTTTTTCTTTTTTTTTTTAATAGCATAAGCAAATTTAATTCAAAACTTTAATCTCTTAATATTTTAATTATCAAATTTTAATATTTATTTGAAATTCAAAAGTGCATTGTCTGATCTTGTTTTATTTAGCGCCAAATTCATTCACAATAATCGCTTACATATAACTACTCTTAAGCCTATTTAATATTATCTATCTTCCATTTTCTTCACGATCTACCTAAAGTATTTTACGTTCCAGTTTTTATCAGACACAATTTCACACTTTGCTCTTTTATTTCATATTCTTATATATATATTTTCAACTAGAAGGATGACATTTTTTTAAAAATTATATTAATTATTTTGTATTAATTTAAGTAGTTTAATTTTAAAATATAATATTGAAGATATTATGACAATATTAATTGTTTTGAAATATTTTTATAATATTTATAATATTATTATCATTATATTGAAAATCTAATATTTTAATAAACTATATAGAAATTTATTTATGAAAAAATGATTATTTTCTACGAAACATGAGGTTATTGGAATGTTGTATTTAATATTTGGTAGTTGAGCAGGGTTATTTGGGTTTATTTTATCTATATTTATACGGATTGAATTAGCTGTACCTATATATATATGCAATAATACTGTAATTAAAAAATATTAGTATACATGAAATATTCATTACTATGATTTGGAAATTTATCCGATCAATTTATTAATTATGTACGGTTGAGCATAATTAATGTCCTTTGAATTTCATAGATAAATATACTTCATAAAGTAAGAATAATAGTTTAAAATTTTGTCATGCAATATATATATATTTCGATGAAGCAGTTTATTATTATTATTATTAATTATATTATTAAATTTATGAATAGGCATATATAAAAAGTCTATAGATTTTAGGAAATATTCAAAAGTATGAACTATTAACCATTACTTTTTATAATTATACATCTTTGTGGGTGAAATCTTTATGAGTATACGAATTGAAATTGTTATTATTTATGAAGCAACACATTTATGTTTAATTTTTGTTTTATTTAAACAATTTGTAAAATAAGAATATATTAATACATTCGTTAAGAATAAAGCACTGAACGTATTAAAACATTATGAATCGTCGTAATGTGTGAAATAAATATAAATATAAATTTGTTGGCTATTAATTAAATCGCAAACGATAACTTCATGTACATTTGATAATATTATTTCAATATATATATATATATATATATATATATATATATATATATGATTAGGTCGAGTATATCATTGTGTTTTTGGTAAAGTGAAAATATTATTTAATCGTAATGTTAAGAGACACGAGCTTCTTATGACTACATTAACTTAGATTTAGAGAGGAAATTTACATTATAGTCGTTGGTAATCATCGAGATGTAGATATCGAATATTGCCAGATATTTTGGATGGATTTGTAAAATTATAAATCAACTTATCATAATTCTATTATATTGAGCATTCATGAAAGGGAATCTAATTTAACATTGAAAATAATCGTGGAATACTGTAAAGTTTATGAATAATAACTAGTGAGGCTTGAAATAAAAAAACAAGACTTTTTATTTGTTTGCCATTGAATTACTCATTTTTTCTTTATTAAAATATTTTGTAATAGTAAATTTGTGGATCGCACGTAACTTATGAAGTGGGAATGATATTATACGCGTACAAATTTAAATGTGAGTTTGCTCGACTCCCTTTTTACATGAATTTTGACAAAATTGCGAAGAATTGGAGTGTTTCTTTGACTTTCTTATACTCCAAGTGTATTTAAGAGACATAGAATGATTGATAGATAGGTAGAGAGAGAGAGAGAGAGAGAGAGAGAGAGAGAGAGTGGGTGGTGGATTGTTAAGCAATGCATCCCTTTCTTATTACGTGCTCACGGAGGCATGATAAATTTCATATTATCTGCCATTTTCATTTTTTTCTCTCGTTAATAACAATCTCGGGAGACCTTTTTGCACTCGTGTGTCACTGAGATCTCGAGGGAGTCAACGCGAGACTCTATTTTTCAATAGACCTACTTCCTTTGGGATACCTTATCTCTCGATTTCCACCCACTAACAATTATTGCCCATCGCGAATGATGATATATTGCGCGCGCACGTAAGCGAGGAAGAAGATTAAGGGTGAGATTGAAGAAGCCGTGAGAGCTGCCGAGTGTGTGCACCCTTCCAGCAATTTCTCCGCTTGTACGTGAATTATTATCCGATTTTGTTTTTTTTTTGTTTTTTTTTTTGTTTGTTTTTTTTTCTTTCGTTTTTCGTTTATTTGAGTTCACCGTGATATATCTTGACATTTTCCGGTTATTGCGATCAAAACGAATTATAGAGTATCGTATACATTATACTCGCTGGTACATTCGCTGCCCTGTTTCGCAGTTTTATTTTTACCTTCTTAATATATTTTGGGGCGCCCTTCCCGTGGCATGGAATTTTCCGACTCGCGAATTAATCACATTGATATTTTACTGGTCGCTGCTATTGGCTCCTCTTCTGCACTAATTTCACCGACCACTTCATTTCATACTAATTTACAAGATTCATATTCGAAATGGAATTGCGGTATTGTCAAAGTCACTGTTGTAAAATAAGCTGCCAAGTTTATATATTATTGTTATTTGAAAATAAGCGATTATTGATAAACTTAATTTTATCGAATCAAGGAACAAACAATTAAGAGAGAAATAAAAATAGGTAATGGCTGTTGATAACATTGATAATAGTAGAGTTTGAATGTATTAATGAAATTTCCTTCCAGAGGTTATCAATAACATGAAATAACATTACTGCAGGAGACGTTATAAAGCACCGTTTCAGCGAGTGTAATTAATTAATCGTTGATGAAAATTGTCCATCCTCGATAATAAGTATTTGAAAAGGATTGTCGGCGTGTCTTCTCCTGCTTTTAATTTTGTAAATTAAATCCGCTGAGCTTATTGAGTGCGGGGGTCAGGAAAAGGAGAGGGCGCAAAACCAAAAAAAAAAAAAAAAAAAAAACAACAAAAGAAGTAAATAAAAACAAAAGGACTAGAATATTGTGAAATTTGAATCGAAATTCTATTGGTCTCTATCCGGCGGTACATACATAAAGTTCGTTGTATAGCAGATGGTATATTACGTGTTAATTTAATTTGTTTGCATTTCAGATGGACTATACGACTCAGTGGAAACTCCGACAGATAACGGTGAGTCTTCTTAATTAATTAGCTAACTTACTGAGTTTCCCTCGAATCTTAATTAGGATTGTTTAGTGCTCATAGGCGATTGAGTTTAACAGATTAGAGTAAACTTGCCAAGAAATAATCTGAACTGAATTTAGCCGAGGGATGGCACATAAAGGGGTTATGGACAGTAGTAGTTGCGACTGCGAAAGCTACGGGCGAAAACTCGTCTTGTGCGGTTCCGTTCGCACAAAAGATTTCGATCTGGCTAACTTATTTCTCCTCTTTTCCTTCTTTTCTCTCTTTTTTTCTCTTTCTCTCGTTCTTTTTTCAATTCATAATAAAACTTCATCAGGCCATACCGAGAATGCATAATCAAGTCGGGCAGTAATTAATTTTCTCCTGCCGTGTCATCTTATTTCTCTTTCATATGTTTCGAAAAGAGTAGTACAATACGCGGCATCGCGAGTCCCGCATAACGTGATTAGCAATACTTCATCTCAACGAATGCCACTCAAATATTTATAGCACTGGTACGTATACTTATGTATATTTATGTGCGGGCGACTGCATGAGATTATTCGAGTTCCTTGTACGAGTGAGTGCTATTCCCAACATCATTTGACAATTAGGCTAAACCATTTTTCCCATACCTTTCGCTTAATATGCGAATCGAATTATTTAATCTTGCGCGCCATCGAAGCATGAGAGATATTATAATTTCTCGATAGATTTACAACACAATTGGAGAGGAAGTGCAAATATCTTACGGCCCGCGAACAATGGTTCAAGCCCAGGCCCTTGACAACACCAAAAACATTACTATGTGCGTTCGTTAAATCGAAGATCTCCGTCATTTTGCGAGATAACGGATGCCTAGAAAGGCTGAATGTCGTATGAAAAATTGTGATTAGACGAGGTTTAAAACTTTCTTGCACATGACCTCGAATTCTTTTAAATTGTACCGAAACGTGAGCTTAATTAATACTATAGAACTCTGTTCATTTAAAAGTTACGATAATTAAAAGAATGTGCAAAAAAAAAAAAAAAAAAAAAAAAAAAAAAAAAAAAAAAAAAAATCGAGCCGGCAACCGCGAAACTTTTGACCTTAATTTTTTCATCATAATTCATAATTTATTCCCTCTGGAAATTTAATCTACTATTCAACAAGGGAACAACTTTTACCCTTAGCCAATGCTGGAAATGTGAGCTGCCATAAATTATAAATGGAACCCTTTAATAAACTGATCTTTAATTAGCATCATTAGATAACTCGAGTTGGCAGTTTAAGCAGAAATATCCGTGGTATATGAGATTTGAGTTTTGTGGAGAAACCTATGAAATCGGTATTTAATCGGTATTTAACCGAAAAGATGACTTTTTAGTTGACAATATTTTTTACTTCACCCACAACGAAAGGCAAAGTTTACTAGATACGACGATATCTAAGCATTTTTATGTGTATAAGGGACAACCAATACATAGCGAGACATCCGTATTTAATCGTAATATTATCCAATTACATCTCAACTTTCAAATAATGTGTAGCCGGCCAAAATAATTTCGATGCTGCTTCATACTTTCCGATAATATTTAGATTAAAAAAAAAAATGCAATCAACATTATTTTTTTATAATTATGGTTTTGGCTTGAATATTATTCCCCAAAATTTTATCTAGAATTTATTAAAATTATGTTTTAGCCATTTGAATAATTTAGAATAATATTTTATCTTAATATTACGATTTAAAAATTATTCGTTCTCACAAGACGTTAAAATGATTATTATACAGGAAATATATTATAAAAGTTAAACAAAAATTGATATTCCGTTCCCGATAAATCAAATAAGATTTTTTAAATATCTCATCTATCAAAAATATCATACATTAAATACAATTTTTACTTTTATTCTTATTCGTATCAGCGGAGTTTGAGAATAATCATTGAAATTTAACTTTTGTATGAACTTCATCTAAACGTTCTTTAATTCTCTTTTATTAATCTCTGATATCGCATGTTCATTCGTCAGAAATACATTAATTTTACGCGTTGTTTGTTTTTCATATTATCAAACTTCCATATCTTCGAATTACATTAATTTAAATATCATTTTATCCCTTTATATTAACTCTGATTTTTTTTGGTCACTATCCCTTTTCTATATATATATTTTCACTATATTTTGTTGAATTTTAATTTTTAAGCGATTATAAATAAATTTATGTATGAAGTCAATTGAGGTAAAGAGGTTTTTTTATTTATTTATTTTTTTTTTTAATTTAAATGCAAAGTTAGTTGGGTGACTTTTATACTATCTTAGTCGTACCATGACTTACACATTATAGCTGAATATCATATTGAATTAAACAAATAATTAATCATACGCCATGCATATAACGTACGTATATACTTAAAAATTGTACGATAAAAAAAGTCGATTCATTTCCGTGCCAATAAATTGCTGCTACTAAGGACAATAAAGCTTTGTTACGCACACTCATTCAAACAAACGAGCTTCTTTAATATTTAATCGTGAAAAAGGATTTTTAGCCAGAGTTTTCTGTCGTATTACTCCATTCCCATTAATATAATACTAAAACTAATATCATTGAACGCGTTGTTTCTTTCTCTAAAATTCGATCGCCCTTATTGCAATAATTTAAAAAATATAATACAGCCAGCTTAGTCCTAACGCGAACAAAAATACATCGTTGAAATATTAATATTGGCGAGATATTTGAACATTTTAAATTCGGCAAAAGTTGAAAAATATGTGACTACAGTTCAAATTATAAGTAAAGTGATATATCTATTGATAATATATACCACCAAGACGGCATGGGAGTTGGGCAGACATGGAGCGTCTGACCAAACTCGGCACTTATAAATTGATATACTGCCTGCATTAACTCGCTTTCTCTTCTTCACTACCCTACCACTTCAAAGTCAAAGCTCCGTTTATCACGGACATTAACAATTTCACATCGTACACAGTCGTGTAAATTTTAACGGTTCACATCGCAGTAAAAACTACGACTTATTGATAATGTAGCGCAACCTATTGTATTGCCCTGCTGCATATTGTTAAAGAGAAAAATTTCTCCAAAGTTTTGATAAATACGAAAGTTTTTATAAATACGACGTTTTATATATATATATATATATATATATATATATATATATATATATATTTAGAGGTATTAATGGCACATTGTATAACTTATACACTTAAAGCAATTATAAAAACATTTGCGAGAGAAATTAATGGAAATATGCATTAAATAAATAAGCAAAATTATGTTTTTTGATATTTTGCAGCATTTTTCTTTTATTTTGTTTTTTTTTTTTTTTTTTTTTTTTTTTTAGTTAATTATAGTTAATGCTATATTAAATGTATTAAAGGTAATAAACTTAGCCATCCATTAGTACATTTCAAATACTTTTCAGAAGAATAAATAGATACAAATGTATTATTTATTTTGGCATTATAAATATTAAAACAATTTTATTTAAAAATTTTGTGCATATATTTGCTTTACTTATATATATATATATATATATAGAGAGAGAGAGAAGTATGTAAAAATGGTGTTATTTAAAAAGCATTTAAATATTATTTGCAAAATGTCAAACAATTTGTTCTATTAGTTAAAAAAAAAAATCCATTAACGTTGAAAATAAAATAAGCAAAAATAAATACGTATTTTCACTTCACAGATTTCTCTTAAATCTTTGTAATAGGATGATTTTTGTGAAATTGATAATATATAAGCGTATAGCTGTTAATTACGATAGGAATAATAATATCTTTGTTAAATTCATTTAGCGCAATTAGTTTACGAAATTTACATATAATCTGAAATATTTGCGTGAAAAATTAATTTCTATTTCAAAGATTTAATCGCACGATGGATTGTAAGAAATTAATTTTTCAATCTTTACATTTTCTCACAGCTCCATATCACCCGCCCCCGCATCCTACTGAATTTATTAATATAATATATTTCAATACATCTAGGAATTCTTGCTTGTTAATTTTTACTTTTGAAAGACATAAATTTCATTTGTATGAAGCAATAAAGTTATGTACAGTTCGGTCTCAGAGGGATGGAATTTCCAGTCTCTTTAGTGAATGTACTTTGCTATACCAGGTAACCAGTACTTTTAAATATCATTTCAAAAATGGAAAATTTTCAACAATGTATTTATGTCAATTCATGTATTCTTTTTCGAGATACGAACAATACAAAATTTCTAACTATGAAATGCTGTCGAGTTAAGCGAATAAGAATTCGCATTGAATCTAGTAGAACAGGACTTTAATGTTTTTTATATCAAATCTAAAATAAATATTGTCTATAAAAGCTTTTGAATTAAACTTTTGCTGGATATTTGATATTTGGCAAAGCTCAATTATATCAACTGGAATCACCGTTGCGCGTTATAAATTTTATACTTTTTAATCAATTTCACAGCCCAGCGTGAATTTATATTATTCTCTTTACTTTTAGGGACATTTAAACAAAGTATACAAAGTTCTTATCGTATAAAGCGTATATAGTAGAAATTTGTCGCTATAACAATTTTTGTCAACAATTTTTGTCAACATTTCTTATTGGATTTGTTGAGTAATCATTTCATAAGATATATATATATTAATATTATTATTCGTTAATATACCTTTTGAAATATATACAGTCTGTATCAATTTTGTATTATTTAATTTCTCTAACTATCAATAATTTCTAAAAGTAATATATTATAAGAATATATCATATTAGAATTTTTATTTGTAAATGGTTTGCAAATTGTTTACAAATTCTAATCGAATATTTATCTAAATAAGCAGAACACTAAATCTGGATACATAATATTTATGAAAATAATTTCAAAAAATATAAAGCTGAGTAACAGTATTAATATTAAATTCTATTTTCGATTACGAAATTATTTAATCTCATAATTTATTTTTCAAATTTTAACAAATATTGCAACTACGTATTTCAAAATATTTGCACACT